TCAGAATAACCTTTGAGTCATGGAATCAGAATTTCTCATTTGATGTAACTAACGCATCTGCGAGGCTGAGCTTGGGAGCGCTAGCCAAGTCAAGAATTCCCCTACCGAATGTCTTGACCTTAGGGGGGCTTAAAGGCACAAACAGCTTGCTTTGAAGAGTGTTCAATGCCATTGGCTTAACCTTGCTGGTATTTCTTCTTTGGTGGTGAAGTTTTGGCGTTTATAAAAATCAAATGCTATTCTTACTGGGAAATACATTTGCAGTCATACGCACACACACAAATACAAACATACGAGCGTATGCGTGTGGACGTGCACGCACACACACGCACAGAAATAATGACTTGTGTACCTTTACCAGAATGCACCTCCTTCACACAATATAGGGAAGATTTCGAATATCATAATCCGGTTTACTTTCAACAGCCATTTCAGTCACGCGAAAAGTGCCCGAACTTTTCAACAAGCAATTGTAAAGAAACAGTTGAGGGTCGTGCCTGACAACACCGAGTAAGCTTCCTCGCCTGATTGATAACACCGTCAAGGATAAGATCATTCGATTATTGACGTATATTTTTATCCCTCAGACAAATTATTGCTACCTTATCAATGCGTCCACTTGGGCTCACTAGTATCGACGTTTGCGTAGGTACAGAATTATGATTGAAAACCGGTCACGAAAGATTTAGGATTTATTGCTAGTTTGTATTTGATAACACATGCGTCGAGTAATTTGTGGGAATGCCAATACTCGTAGAAAACTTGTGCACATACGCAACCGACAGGCTTTGTCTCCTGTTCGTGGGTTTTCCGCGAATCAAGCAGCGCTATTACTATTTTTATCTTCACAGAATACCTTACAGCAGAGTGTGCAAGCTTTTTGTCCGGCTGTTTTTCTGTTGTCCGTCTGTCCGTTTGTCTGTTGGTCATTCTCTCTCGCTCTCTATTTTTTGTTTGATTCATCCTGTCTGTCTCTCTTGTTCCCATCTACATGCAGTTGTTGTCTTGAATCTATTTTAAGAAGAATGTGTGTACGGCAATAGGACGATGCAAACATGCAACATATGCACAGTTTTGCTAAGTAGTTCTTAGCCTTTTGCAGTTATCATTTGGTACATTGATTTTGTTAAATTGCTTCGTCAAATATGATGCGAATGGTAAGTACATTTTATACTGTGCAGTTAAACCAATAGGTCATCAAATATTGCTGTGATAATCTTACAATAGTGTCGACAATAATCGTAACTACGGAAAGTAATTAATTGAAAGTCGCATTTTGAATATTTCACAAGATCTCCATGGAAGTTTCTTAATGCTTCATTTTCTCTCAGTTGTTGAAACCCTTGTTGACAACTGAGTTACTAGCCTTTGGAGTACACATTTCAATGACAAAGAGGTATTCAAGTACACAACTCCGGCGCATTAATCTCTGTGCTACAGTGAAATGAGAGAGCAATCAGAACGTACTATGTCCAGGGTGCAAGAGCAAGGCCAACTTAGTTATTGCGATAATGAAGTTTAACACACGTGCTGGCTAAAGTTAATGCCAGGTAGCGTGTGTGCGTTTATGCGTGCACATGACCAGCGGGTCTGACGATCTCTTAGCAACATGTCTCTCGCGTCTAAGTCCGTGATGGCAATATTAAGTATCTGAATAAAACCAGCATGACACTATTTGTTTGTATTATCTGTATACATTATCTCAGATTTGCTCCGTCATGGAACTTGCAGAGTACCCAAACATTGTGAATAATGCAGACCCCGAACAGTGGTGTATTTTCTTGGACTATGTATATATGGTAATTATGTCAATACTACATTGGCATTAACTTCCGCCTTGGACTGTTGGAAGGTTCGGTCTCAGATAAGAAGAAAGAAGATAAAAAGAAAGACATAGAAGAATATGCAATGCGCAGAGAGAGCATGAATCCTTCATCTGGTAAAGGACTTGTCCTTCAAACACAAACACATTTGGCATCTGTCGTCAGTCGGCTGTGCTTCGGACTTTTCAGACTAGTATCGTAATTCCTAGCATAATTTGGATGTTATTATTTTTTCAGCTCTTGAAACAGGATCTGACTTTTTTCTATATAAATTTACTCATATCTTAGAAATATTCATGCATCAGTAATTCTACAGCATCTAGCTGCTAAGCGTGCACGAAATCAGAATCTGGTTTGGTTATATAACAGCCGTTGCCACTGCATACTGTTGGCAACAACCTAGACTTCAGTTTACGCATGTTATCCAATAATTTACTGGAGCTTTATCAGTTACATAAATACATACAGTTCATAATATGGTGTTCGTAAATGCAATATTCCAACGATTTTTTTCATAAATCAAGTTACAATGTTTACTTAAACCTCATATGCAGCATGGTATACAAGCATTTAGAGCAAAGCTACTCAGTTATTATGAGCAAAGGTCCAGTTAGACAAGTTCCAATGTATGAGAGGTCCGGATTAATATTTTACACGCAATCTTGAAAATAAAACCA